GCTGCTCTCGACCCACACAGAGCTGGTGACCCGCTCTGTGGAGATGTGCAGAGGGAAAAGAATTCTTGGAATTCCTAGGGCTGTTTGGGTGCTGTGGGTCCTGACCACAGAAGTTGGAAAAAGGTGACTTCCCTGTGGGCTGGTCTAGTCACTGCATTCAGAAATGGCAGGCTCCTTTCATCTTAAAAACATGAGCCACACTGGGTGCTGGAGGCTTACACATGTAATCCTAGCTACTCAGGAGGCGGAGATCAGGAGGATGGCAGGTTGAAGCCAGCCCAGGCAAACAGTTTGTGAGACCCTATCTCGATAAAATCCATCACAACAAAGGACTGGTGGAGACAGACCAGGAGGATCATGGTTCAGTCCAGGCAAAATGTTAGCTAGAGCCCATCCCAACAAACAAGTTGGGAATGGTGGCATATGTCTATAATCCCAGCTATGTGGGAGGCTGTAGCTAGGAGGATTGTGGTCTGAGGCTGGCCCTGGGCAGAAACAGGGGACCCTATCTGAAAAATAATAAATAATGCTAACATGGCTGGGGTATAGGTCAAATGGCAGAGCACCTGCCAGCCAGCTTAAGGACCTGAGTTCAAATCCAAGTACTGTGCTCCCACAAATGTGAGTCAGGTATGGTGGTGCATGCCTCTGAACCCAGCACTTGGGAGACTGACCAGGAGAATCACGAATTCAAGGCCAGCCTAGACTACATAGTTGCCATTTGGATAGGTGATGTGACTCTGGCTGCACAAACTCTGCATTCTTACTGAGTCCTGGAAGCCAGCTGAAGGCAAACAAAGAGAATGGAAGCCACGATGCAAATTCCCTTTTCAGCTACATTGAGAGGCAGACATCAAACACTTTGGAGCAGCGGAGCAGCATAACAAGCAGGCAGTTTCACGAAGAGTTGGAGGAAATGAGGAAGGAGAGGAGAGCTGGGTGTGGCAAAGCTCAGAGGGCACCAGCTGAAGAGAAGAGTCCCCATCTCCCCTGGTCTGCTGCAAATGGGGTGAGTTGAGTGGTCCAGAGGCCCCATCTGGACAGAGGGCTAGAGGAGCAGAGGAGACAGTGTCAGTGAAGAACTGCTGGCGCTGACACGCCAGTGTGCAGAAGCAGCTGCCTGCACGGAGGCCGAGGAGGAGAAGCCCTGCATGGTGAGGATCAGCTAGCTGACTTCAGGTGCTGCCCGGGCCCTGTGTCCATGGACTGGTCCCCTCCCACAATAATAAAACAAGCTCCACAGCCACGCAGAAGCTGTGGAAGAGGGAGACAGAGAGCAGCAAAGCTTATTAACGATGAAAGCAAGACCCCTGAAATTACTATGCTGAAACAGGTGAAAATTCTGAGCAATCATTTCACAGTAAATTGTTAAAACTTAACGAAAAGCCAGGCATGGTAGGCTGAGGCAGGAAGATCTTGAGTTCGAGGACAGCCTGGGCTATATAGTGAGACCTGATCTCAAACATAAAAAAAAATCTTTTTTTTCATTTTTTATTAGGATATATTTGTTATACAGTGGGAGATTCATAGTGACAATTCTGGTTAGGCTTATATTGTACATTGGTTAGATCACCCTCACCGTCTCTCCCCCACAATCCCTTTTCCACTCCACTTAAAGCTCTCTGTCACAAGCCATTCTGTTAACATCAGCAGTTTAGGTTGTGATTCCTATCAACATCCAAACCATGGATCTCAGCCATCAGGTGTCCTAATTCCTGCTTAGTCCTCATCAGGTTCTCTGGCTCAGTCCCTATGAAACCTGCAAAGTGTCACACAAGGCTCAAGGCTCAACAGCAGAGGTTTCAACAGAAACCTCAGCAGTTGCAAGAGGTTTCTTTGTTCTGTTTCATAGAAGCATATGAAGTCCATCAAGCATATTCCCTCACCTTAATCTCCTTCATTCGCCCTCCTCCCTCCTACTAATACCCCTCCACACGCTGTGCCTATTTTACAGTCCTGTCTTTCATTACTAAAGGGGATTCTCAGTGTATCCTTGTTGTGAGTTTATTTTACTTTGGTGTGTTCCATCCCTTCCCATTAATTACTCTTCCTTACCCCTTTACCTCCCACCCAACCCCCCGTTTTTAACAGCTCTCAAATTACACCCTACCTTCACAGATGTTATGTTTTATGATATTATTGATGCTCTATCATTCTTTTTTCCTTTCCCTCTTTCCCCAATATTTTCTTGATCCATTCTTCTGTTGTAGGGCACCTGGCTTGTTTCCAGAGCTTGGCTATTGTGAACAGTGCTGTGATGAACATCTGTGCACAGGTGTCTCTATTGAATCCTGACTTACATTCCTTTGGATATATGCCCAGAAGTGCTATCACTGGATCATATGGAAGTTCTAGCTCTAGCTTTTTGAGGAGTCTCCATACTGCTTTCCATAGTGGTTGTACTAATTTGCATTCCCACCAGCAGTGTATAAGGGTTCCTGTTTCCCCATATCCTCGCCAGCATTTGTTGTTGTTATTACCCTTGATTGTGGCCATTCTAAATGGGGTGAGATGAAATCTAGGTGTTGTTCTAATTTGTATCTCTTTTATGACCAGGGAAGTTGAACACTTCACGTATTTACTGGCCATTTGTACCTCTACCTTTGAGAATTCCCTGTTTAATTCAGGGAATTAACCCTGGGGTGTTGACTCTTTGTGGGTTGAGTTTTTTGAGTTACCTGTAGATTCTGGATGTTAGTCCCTTATTGAATGAGTAGCTGGCAAAGATTTTCTCCCATTCTGTGGGCTCTCTCTTGAGTCTGATTACTGTTTCCTTTGCTGTGCAGAAGCTCTTAGGTTTGATGCAGTCCCATTTGTTCATTCTTTCTCTTAGATACTGAGCTTTCGAGTTCCATTTAGGAAGTCATTTCTTATACTTATATGTTCCAATGTATTCTCTACTACTTCTCTGAGTTGTTTCAAAGTTTCAGACCTTATATTAAGGTCTTAGATCCACTTTGAGTTGATTTTGATACAGGATGAAAGACAGGGATCTAGTTTCAGTCTTCTACATGTGGATATCTGCCCAAATCCAATCACCCCTGAGCTCTATTCTAGTTACATTATTGGACTTCAAAGAAAAAAAAATCTGTAGGGCAGGGAAAAAAAAATCAGTGAAACCTTAGATTTCTCCTGGGCAGCATTCAGTGTAGACAGACATGGAGAAGGACCCACAAGCTATTCAAAGAAAGAAGCTGAGCCCAGTGTTTTGTGCCCAGTCAAACTTCTCTTCAGGTGCCAATGCTGCAGAATGACAGTTTGGAAGTGGAAGAACTTGAGGATATTGTTTCCATGTGTGGTTCAGGCAACCAAGAAGTCATGGGAAACAAGGGTAATAGGATAGAGTATGTCGCATGTGTTTAGCTGAAGAACTCGGACCTGAACAACGTGATGGGACTACAGTGTACATACCTCTCTTCTAACAACATGGAAAACGATAAAAAATATATAAAAATCAGAAAGAGAATGAAAGGAAAATATGGGAGAAAGAATAAATATGCTTTGCACTTCATATAATCATAGCAGAATTCCAAAGAATATCATTGAAATCTGGCAAATCTAGCAGAAAGGTAAATATATTTAATTTTACAAAGGTATACATTAAAAAGAATACTAGCGATGAAAACTGAATGGTAGGAGAAAGAGAAAATGTGCTAATTTCATAATTGACCTTACTAGAGAATGAGCAGCTACAGAAAGAACCAGGCCAGGATTACAGGTGTGTACAACTATGCCTGGCCCCTCAAATGTAAATATATTAAACCAGCATTAATAGAAGAATCGTGAGTTTGAGGCCCAGTCCGAATAAAAAAGGAAAACAAGCCATAAAATCTTCTGACAGACTAAGAGCAAACACATAAAGCATAGCCAAGTAGTATAAATGGGCTAAATCACTGGAGAAAGAACACACAGCTCTTTTGGTGAAGGTGCATTGTATGTGTGTGCGTGTGTGCACACATGTATGCGTGTGTGTGCACGGCTCACAAGTCCTCCTCTGAACCCTGCCCCAGGGTAGGTAATGAAGGAACCCCCGATCATGTTCTCTGTAAGGAGAAAGATTCCAAATGACACACAGGACTGGGGAGCACAGATATCTGTGGAAGCACATGGTTTACAAGGAAAACATTCATTCTCCAGGCTTGAGTCCCCACCCAGTGGAGTAGGGGATGGGAGTCTGCCCTCAGCTAACTTCCCCACCTCTTATTCAGCTCCCTGCTCCTTCTTCCTGGTGGCAGCTCTGTGACACTCAAACCTGAGCCTGCATCAGAATCTCCTCGGGGAACTTGTATGCACATAGGATGTGGGCCGCTTCTGGCTCAGTGGTTCTGGGGTGGGGACTGGGGATCTGTATTTCTGACCAGGTCCCAGGGGATGCTGAGGCACTGCACCCGAGTGTGCACTTGCTGGCATGTACAATACTGGAGCTGCCAGATCTGTGTGCCAACCTGCAGGGAGGGGAAGGGGACAGGCCAGGGCAGCCAGCTGTCTCTGGAGCAACTGGGGCAAGCAGAATGGTTGACTCTCACAGCAAAGGCAAGGACTTGGTGGCATGGGCAAACCAGGTGACAGGGGAGGCTGAGGAAAGATATCTGTAAGTGGGAAGCTACATTCCCTGGAAAGGGGGAGTGCTTATTTGTGGGGGACAATTGACTGGCAGGAGCCCACAGAGTCATATTGAGATAAAAAGGGCAGGCCCAGCACTGGGTGGTGAGGCAGAGTCCTTTGTGGGCCATGGTAACCAGCCAGTGTGGTATGGCAGGGAGAGAAGTGTCAGCCCAAGTCTGTCTGCAGGCATCAGCAAAGGCTGACCCTGAAAGCAAGCCACCTCCAAAGCAAGGCCACTATTCCTTCCTTCAAAGGCAGCTAGCTGTCCTGCCTGGGCTTCACTCTTTGCCTTCCCTCGTGCACCCAGAAGCCCCCTCATTCACCATCCTCATTGTTTTGTGGCTTGGCTGTGTCTTCCCTAGTTCTCAAGCTATCTTTTTCTACCCACTGCCCAGGCATTGCGGCTCTGGAGAAGACTGCGTGGTAGCAGGCGATCAGTGGTGGCATTCTGCCTCTTGATGACCCTGTCTGCAGTGGTTGTCACCCGCTTCCCTGCTGAGCATCCAGCTGCTGGCCCAGACCCTGGTCCCAGGAAGCCCTGGGGAGAAACTGGAACGCCTGATCTCCCCATCTTGCAGGCTCTGAGCTCCAGCCAGAGGCAGCAGACAAGAGACCTGGGGATCTGGAGAGGCCAGGCTTTACCCAGAAATTCCATCATGGTCTGTGCTGAGAAACAAGGGCGAGTGAACAGAAGCAGGAGGTTCCCAGGAGGGGACAGCAGGCGTCAAGGAAGGGTCAGGAGGGACGTGACTTTGGCAAGAGATCCGAGACCCAGTACCCAGCATCTGGTGCTCCTGAGAGAAGATGAGGTCAGCGATCCAGGAGCCGGAGCTCTGGGCCACCCTGGGCATCGTGATCCCATCCAAGAGACACAAAGTGACATGGGCAACCTGGTCAGCCGGCTGACTGGGAATGACAGGGCAACTTGGAGAGCTACTGCTAGACTCACCCTTTGGCCCCATCCAGTGGGAGCCAAGAACAGAGTCTTAGCTGGAGAACAAACAGGGGACCCCACCCCAGCCTCAGGATCACATTGGTGGCCTGGCTCCATTGGGGAACTGCAGAAGTCCATATGGTGTGACATCGAGACCCCTGGGCTATCAGCCAGCTCAATGACTGGGGGGCAGGTTCCCCCATGGCTCACAGAGCATGATGTGAGGACCCTTCGGCTGTTGGCCCAGGGTGAAGTTGTGGGCAAAGCCAGGGTCCCCGCCCATGGGCAGGTGCTGCAGGTCGGCTTCTCTCCTGAAGAGGTCCTTCAGGATCCGTCTCCTCCCACACTCAGCCAACTCTGCTCCCGGGGGCTGTGTGGCCTGATCAAGAGGCCTGGGGACCTGGCTGAGGTCCTGGCATTCCATGTGGACCGTGTGCTGGGACTGCACCGGAGCCTGCCTGCCGTGGCTCGTCACTTTCACAGCCCCCTGCTGCCCTACCGCTACACGGATGGTGGCGCCAGGCCTGTCATCTGGTGGGCACCTGATGTGCAGCACCTGGGTGACCCGGATGAAGACCAGAACTCTGTGGCCTTGAGCTGGCTGCAGTACCAGACCTTGCTGGCACATGGCTGCCGCTGGCCAGGCCAGGCATCATGCCTGGGCATCCACCACGCTGAGTGGGCACGCCTGGCACTCTTCGACTTCCTGCTGCAGGTAGGTGGGGTTGGGCAGAGAGCAGGGGAGATTGTCCACCAAGGATGGTGACTCTCCTTGCACTCCTGGTTTGTTTGGGTTTTTTTGATAGTATAAGGTTTGAACTCAGGGTCTCTACCACTTGAGCCACTACTCCAGCCCTTTTTTATTCTAGGTTATTTCTCAGATAGGGTCTTGTGCTTTTGCCCAAGCTGGCCTTGTACCACAATCCTCCTACCTACGTCTTCTGCATAGCTGGCATGACAGAAGTGTCCCACTATGCCTGGCTTATTGATTGAGATGGGGTCTTGCTAACTTTTCGCGTGGGCTGTTCTCAAACCTCTATCTTCTCAATCTGTCTCCACCTCTTGAACCACTGGGCTCAGCAGTCCTGGTCTCTTGACCACCAAGCACCTGTTTTTATAATTTTTCTGCCTCTGATTACTTATCTAAGTAGTATCTTAAAGCCAGGTCATATCAACCCACAACAGCTGATGCCTAAAATTTTCAGGGATTTTGTGGCCTGGCTGTGAAACACAGGCATTATTAAAAATTAAGTTATACAAAGTAATAATAAAAATTACATTAGAAACAAAGGTAATAAATACTCCAAACCAATTACTTCCTAATTCTCATACGACGTTTTACTGTTATCTGTGCTCTTGGGGTTATTTCTGTGATTTTTGTCTACACAGTGAGCGCTGCATAATGGTGTACTCCTCCACATCTCGTCGACTCTACATTCAGCTATGTGGTCAGGGTGTGAATACTGACACCATGGAAGTCTTCAGATGCTGTGAAGCTGAGCTCCCCTCTACTGCTGGAGAGCAACTTGCTAAACGTTTACCAGCACAGCACCGTTCCTAGCCTTACATCTTTGAATCAACATGGGTTCAAGATGGTTGTATAAGTTTTAAAAGAAAGTGAGAGAGGGAGAAGCAGAGAGAGGGAGACAGAAAGAATGGGAAGGGAGAAATGAAATAATATTCCCTGTGACCAGATGAGGTCCCTGCCTCCCTGCCATGTCAGAAGTTAACCCTAGAGTTTCTGGATGGAGGGGAAGATGGGTCTCGGGGAAAAGGTGGTGTGTCAGGGCACAGGGTCAGCTGTTTATTAGCTGGCTGTTCTGGGGCTTGTGAGCAGGATGGCAGCTGTGGATAGACACGCACGGAGACATGGCCAGAAAGAAATAAAGACAGTGCATGAACACTGAGCATGGATGGATGTGAGCACTAAATGCAGACTGAGCCAGCCCCTGTTTCTATGGGGACCCCCCTACTAAAGAAAGAGGTCAGCAGCCCTGAGGTTCACCTATGGTGAGTGCACAGCCAAGGGACAAGACTCATGGCCACGACCAGACAGCCAGGGGCCGATATGCTATGTTTGGTCCATCTGGGGCGCACTTCCAGTATATTTTAGAAAATTCTTAAGCAATATGTAATACATTGGAGATTTCCCATAAAAATCCAGCTTCCTTTGGAAAAACAGATGTTTAGTGCCCTAAACCTCCATTCCCACAGGGCTGTGGCAGAGGCTGCCTCACCTGTGTCCCCATGGCTGCCTTGTGCAGGTAGAGCAGTGGAGCCTGGCGATCAGGACCATGGGCTTTGGTGTCAGGCAGACCTGGGTTAACCCCTTCCTGCTGCATGACAGATCCACGGTTCGCTTCACCTCTTAGCCTCACTCCTCCCACCTTGACAATGGGATTGTGTGTCCCAGCCTCATCCCCAGGGCCTGGCCATTTCTTGCATGGCAGTTCCTCATTGCCAGGGTTGCTCTGGGTCTTGCAGCCTGCTCTGCCTAGTGTGTGACACCCTGGAAGTGCTGGAGAATTAATGCTGTCTAGGTGGTATGACCAAACCATCCATGGGGATTAGGACTCAGTGCAGAACCAGATCAGTGCTGGGCCAACAGAGAAGGCTGGTCATACTACCTCAGCCCTTGGCCAGGACTGGTGGGAGCCATGCACATATTCTAGATGTCTCTCAGTGCCCCCCACAGTGGTCATGCTGGCCTTCGTCCTCTCACTTCTCCACCTCCCTACTTACAGGTCTTGGAGTTCACCCACAAACAAACTGCTTCCTGTTGAACTCTTGCCTCCAGGTCTGTCTCTGGGCCCCAGCCTACATCAGATGATAGCACAGACCTTATATGGTTTCTGCACACAAGACTGTTTACATGATGTAGTTAATACAGTGCCTGGTGGGTGGCAGGCACTGTTCCCAGAATTTATAGGAGCTAACTCATCCCATCTTCATGGCAACTGTACTAGTGAGATACTACACTGAATCCTATTTTAAAAACTGAGACACTGAGGTCCAGAGAGATTAAGTTACTTGCTCAAGGTCACAACTGGTAGACTGAGACATAGTCTGGCTGAGCTCCGACTCTCTTGACTCCAGAGCTCACTGTTTATCAGAGTCACTATTTTGGTGGCCATGAATGAGGGAAGGGAAATGGGATGGCTGCAGCGCTGTCCTAGGGCCTGGAGAACTGAGATCCTTGCAACACTCCAGTCCAGCAGTGTGTTCGCAGAGGCACAGAGCCCCTCTGTTCTCTTGTGGGTTTCAGTGAACTTTTCCTTGGCTGCCAAGCCCTGCATAGGGACAAAAGTCTGCAGCCAAGGCACACACAGGTTGGTTGTATGATCAGACACAACTTGGCCAGACTCATGCTTCTCCTTCCCTGGTTAGCTGGATGCCAGTCAAGTCAAACACCTCTATCTGGCAGGTGCCACCTTCCTAGAAACTGCTGGCAAAGATGCAGAATGTGGGTTTCTCTGCACAGGACCCTGAGGTACTCTGATCTGTAGCTGGGACAAACCCCATGGACAGCCTACTTGGGCCAGTAGATATGCTCATTTGTTTGGGAGGATGCAGAAGACATCTCAGAGTTGTCTTGCTGGGATATACAGCCTTACTTGCAGTTCAGGCCACTCCTGAGGGCACTGACTTTGTGGCATCAACTGGCCAACCAAAAGCAGCTAGAGCAGTGAGCTGGGTACTTGTCTCTGGTGTGCATGGGAATGGTGAGTGCCAAGTGGGTATGGTGGGCTACCAACAGCTTTTGGCATACATAATGAATGTTAAACTAAAGGTAAGGTCCAACTGGCTACTATGACCAGGACCATGTTCTCCCTGAACAAACTAGTTTCTCTGAGAAAGATAAAGTACTAACAGTGAGTAGATTGTCCTCCCAACTCACACCAGGCTGTGTCACAGGAAAAGTGAGACCACGAGAGTCGTACTTCTGAACAGATCAGGCTGTGTCACAGGAAAAGTGAGACCACGAGAGTCGTACTTCTGAACAGATCAATGAGAAATTAGTCCTACTGCAATGAACAAGTTGGGCATGAGAGAGAGAGAGAGAGAGAGAGAGAGAGAGTTTGGATGGAGGAAGGGGCTCAGAAGCAGTAGGGTTGGATGTTGTGGCATTTGCTTATAATCCCTGCTATTTGGAAGGTGAAGGTAGGAGAATCAACAGTCTGAGGTTGGCTGGGCAAAAGTATGAGACCCTATCTTAAAAAAACCAAACAAACCTATAAAACAAAAAGACTAGGGGCTTAAGTGGTAGAATGCTTGCCTAGCATGTGCCAGGCCCTGAGTTCACTCCCCCATACTGCAAAAACAAACAAACAAAAACAACCCTCTACTCAAGATCACCTGCATGTCAAGGGTCTCTGCAGCCAGAGTTGTGTTCACATTGGTGAATGGTACAAAGTCCTCCACTTGGGACAGTGAAGATAGGAGACGAACTGTGGTCAGGAGCCATCAGTCTGCTGCAAGCTGGTCCAACACAAGGGGACCAAGAAGGCCTTCTTCCTAGAGGCCAGGGTGTGAGGGAAAGGCTGGGCTCAGGCACATTTCTTCTTCCCACTTTGCAAGGGGTTTCTTTTCCCCTGTGATTGCTTCCAGCTGGGCTGTGATGGGCTAGACATGGGTGGTGGGCTGGAGGACTTAGGCAGACTGAGAGTTGTTGGCAGTTTTAGCTCACAGAAGCCATTCCTCAGCTACCTCACACAAAGGAGCCTGCATGTCCCCAGAATTGGGGCCCTAGAAGCCCCACTGCCAGCACCTCAGTCCAGGCTCTTTCATCCATGAACTGACAAAACAGCTCCTAGAGAGTCTCCTGCCTCTGCTTACCTCTTGGCCAACCCTGCTTCCTCACCCACGCCTGAGTGATTCTCTTGGGTTTGGGTTCCCTGGTGGTGGAGTCTGAGACCAGAGTTCCAGTGGCACTGGTTTACCTGGGAGAGGTCCCAGAAGCACCCACAGGGGACAATGGCAGTGAGGCTGGAGGGAAGGCAGCCAACATAGAGGAGCTGGTCACTGCGGTGAGTGACAAGGCTGAAATCCACAGGACAGCTCTGAGGAGGGAGTGAGACACCAGCTCAGAGCTCAGGCAGGGGCAAGAGGCCTAGGGGTATTGGTAATCAAATCCTCTGGCAGTCTGCAGGTGGGGGCTACCCCTGGAGGAGGTAATGCCCTGGAGCGCAGGAGGGACTTGTCACAGCTGTGAAGAAAGCCCCTGCAAAACCACAGCCACTGCAATTTGGTGTTCACTTGAAGGATTCAGGCAACAGCCCATCTCTTTTACCCTCCAAATCAGGTCCTGCCCGCAACTTTGCTATCAGGACAGGTTCAGTACCTTAACATCACGCCCTGCAAGCTCCTGGATCTACAAGGACCTGACAATCCCTTGGTTTCTCCCTCTCCAGCCCATCTCTTGCACCTGCTCCTTAGTCAGTTTCTTAACCCACGCCTCTCCCTCTGGGTAAGAGCCCAGCTGCTGTCCTCCTGGCCTGGAGCTTTCTGCTCTCACTGCCTTCTGATTCTTGCTCTAGTCCTTTCTTTCATAGCAGCCTGCCTGTTTCTTTTCTGGTTCTCAGCACAATGTGCAATAATATTTACAAGTAATCATCTATTCACGTATTTACCATCTCCCTCTGTGTTCTGTTCACTAGTTGTACCTACCATGGAGCCAAGACCTTGTTTACTCCTAAATTAGCACTTTCTGGATGG